AAAATAAAATTTTTTTTTTTTTTTTTTTTTTTTTTTTTTTTTTTTAGAAAATATACTCCAATAATCTTTATTTACAACCTCAATAAAAACCTTTTAAATAATATTTATAAAATACATTTATATATCATATACATTTAAATATTTACAATTACATTTGTATTAAAAGTTTTAATTTTAGTGCAAACTTATTTATAATCTGATTCTAGAAAGCTAGAAAGCATTTTCCCTAGATATTAGAATCAATCAACTTCAGCTTACAAAGGATTTTGGTATGTTTTTACTTCATGTTTGCTGGTTTTATTGATTATCTTTAAAGATTTATTTAGCCTTTCAGTTCAAGCTTTTCTTCGAAGTCTAGGCTGAAAAGTACAGATAAGTGGAGGTCAGATGATGAAGTCCTCTCAATGATTCTGTCTATTTACATAAATGTCTCAAGCTGCTAGATGCTGCATTCAAATCATGTCAAATGATTACACCATATGTAAATATTTTTTCTGAATTGGGAATGTTTGAATTAAGGAATCATGACAGAACAAACTAGTATTGATCATAATCTGTGGTCATTAAGAATATTGACTATACAATTTAGTTTGAAAGCATTTTGTGTGCTGCTGATGTTGAAATATGGCTCATTTAGCCGGTTTGTGAGACTACAGGCGTGTGTGACAGCCGTATTTCCGTCTGTGAGATGAGTTCTGCTGACTGAATCCTGTGTGATTGCAGGTGAACCCAAGAACAGAGCGAGTCCAGATCAGAGGAACCAGAGCGAGCCCAACACACAGAGCGATCTGCTGCGTCTGCTCGCCGAGGTCCATTTCATCAGCGCTGAGGTACAAACACATTCTTTCTGATCAAACATAGTGTCAAGCATGATTTTTTCCCCCCAAACTAGTTCAGAAAAATCACAGATGATCCCATTGCAACAAACAATGCTATACTATACTGAGGTTAAGGTTAGGCTTATGGGTTAGTATTTGTATATGCATTCAACTCTGTGATTGACATGAGAAAAGAAACCTTTAGAAACGGGTTTGCACTTCAGTACTTCGGAGGAAAAATCCTGTGTAAATTATACAATATACTGTACATCATGATGACTGCTTCAGAGGTTATAATACAGATCTCATTATCATAATGCACATTATATTATATTATGTTATATTATATTATATTGTATTATAAATGGCTGTCATGGCAGAGCAACAGTTTGAAGAGAATTGTCTGGAGACTGTTAGTTAAAGTTAGTTAAGGCAAAACTCTACAGCTAAATATACTGAAAAAATATTAGTTTAGGATTTCTCTAATTCAGCATTTATGGAAATTTTCACCAAAAAAACAAAAAAAAGTTGCTAGTAAATTTCTGAAATAATTACAAAGGAAGTGCAAGAAACACATTGAATTAAACTTGAAATTTTAAAGTAGAAAAACTATAATAAAGTATACTCTAGTAGTCTTATATTTACAACTTTGAAAATATATATATTTTTTACAGTGTAGGATACAAAATAACTAATAGATATCATCATACTTTTCCCAGCTGATTATTCATAGTTATTTTGTAATACAAGTTTTATAAAATATTGTTTAAATATGCAAATGAGGCATTGCCGTTAAATATGCACTAATTTGCATACATTTCCAGAACAACAATCTGAACATTGGATAAAGCCAGATTCAAAATCCTTGTCTGATTTTGTTGTCATATTAGAGTTAAAGGGGTTTTTTTCAGAGGAGATTTTGGATTTCTCTTTTTATCACTCCATAAATCAGAAAATACTGTCAACAGACAGAAAAAAACACATTTTCACCATGTTTTTATGAATAAAATGTTAAATATAAATCAGTGTGAATGACATATGAACAAACCCCTCAATAAAAACCTTCAGAATAAAGCTAGGAATAAAACAGTAGATGTGTATGTAAGTGCTTGTGAAGTGGGGAAAAAACTCATAGCCTTTAAAGATATAGATTGGAATTAAAATCTACAAATGCAAATAGTTAAATGCAATAAAATAAAAACTTAAATGTGCATTTTGGATGCTTTCTTTCCACTAGTCTGACATGTTATTCAGGTAAAATAGATGAAAATCTCAAAACTAGTGCATGAAAAACATGTAGTGTCTCGCCTTAAACCGGAAGTAGATTGGTCCCTCTAAGCGAGATCCCAATTTCGTCGGTCATCCGACGTGACGTCGAGAGTGACCGACTGAAAGGGAACTGTGGATTATAGAGATTTGGGCACAGTGCATTGAGAAGCGATGACCTTGACAAAAGCAGAGCCTGTCGGAGCAGCTTCTCTTTGATAGCGCAGCACTTTGTTCTCGCCGAACATGTTTCCTCTCTTTTTGGAGGGTTGATTTTTCAAAAGACGTGCTTTTAATTTGATGCATGTGTCATCTGGGGGAAGAGAAAGGTTTCCCTCATGGACCGGAGCGGCTTTGATCCTCAGTCATCCTGTGTTACTGTATGAGCCGTTCAATCCCATCAGCCCCGTCTGCACAGACGACACCGACTATAGACTGTTATTTCATTAACCCTTTAAAGCTACTGATTCATATGTGATACACAGGCTCTAAATGATCAAACTCTGCTGTTAAACCTGTCTCACACTCAATCTCCTGCATGTTTTCTGTCGTCTGATTGATAGTTTAGAGTGTTTTATCCAGTAAAAGCTCTTTTAGTGTAATTGTACAAGCGTCCAGCTTCAGCTGGAGCTTCTCGTGTCAAATCTTGACTGATTTTGATCAAGTAAAGGTCAGAATAACTGCAGTAATATCTCCAGATGAACACTTACTGGACTGAAGCAGCTCAGCTTTACTTGATTCTCCATCAATCATGTTTTAGAGTCTCAAATCTGATCCTCAGGATCTTTTGAGGAGAGTTTGTTTCCAGAAGCTTTACTTTCACTGTTCCTCAGCGGAGGAATGATCTTCACAAGCCTCCAGAACATCTCACATCTTCTGAGGAGCCTTTATTTCTTCAGCTCTCAATCACTGCATTATATGTTTGGAGCATTTCAATCTCATCTTATTTTTAGACATATTATTGTAGATATAGAGCGATGACTGATATTTAGATCATTTTATATCAGTATCTGCTGCACTGTTATAAAGATCTCATTGATTTACATTACAAGCAGCAGCAGAATTTCATCATATAAATATCAGCATCTGCAGCAAATTACATATTTTTGCTCAGTTTGAGTCTCTCAATAAAATTTAGCTGTTTTTCCTTTATATTCTCACCATATCAGACTATATGTGCTATAAAATACTGATGGATCAAATGATACAAAACAAAAAACACATGCAACCTTTTTTTTTTGTCTAAAGGTTCAATAGACTTTTTTAAATGCCATTTCAAAATATGTAATTTTTCGGACTATTATTTCATGCATGTGCCTGTATGAATTTGTTGTTAAAGACTTGTAGAGACTTCTAAGTGCATAACACAAAATTTCTGAAGTAAAAACAAGTTCTCATTAAAACTGGCGTCCCATAAAGCACAGTATTGTGTTGTCTAGGTAACCGTCCTTAAACTCCGCTCTGAGGGGGTGGAACTAAACGGCTCTGCTGTAGCACCTGATGAGAAACGGACACGCCCACCTGAAGACGACGCCCACTGGAACCTGTACAGGTGAATTTCATCATAGATATACTGCTTTTTGTAAATGTTTTAAAATATATTTTATTTTTATATTTTCTGTTTTCACTTTAATTTTATTTTTTTATTTTTTTTTATTTTTTTTATATATGTATTTATTTATTTTTAAATCTAGTTTTTGTTTATTTAGATTAACTTATTTTATTACTTTTATATTACTTATTTTAT